TCCCAATTCTAATATTCAAAGGTCCGAGCAATGAAGGCACACATGTTAAATGTCTTCTTAAACACCCTGTCTACATGTGACACAAACTTCAAAGAATTATGTTCCTGAGCCCCTGAGTCTCTCTATTGTACAACACTACCCAAGGCCCGACTTCTAATTGTGTAAGTCCTGCTCGTTTGTTTTACCAAAATGCAAATCCTTGCATTTATCTAAATTAAACTTCAGCTGCCACTCCTCAGCCCACTGAGCCAATTGATCAACAGCTCTTTGTAATCTTAGATAGCCTTCTTCATTGTCCACTATACTACCAATTTTGGTGTCATCTGCAAGCTTATTAACCATGCGTCCTATATTCTCATCTAAATCATTTATATAAATGACAAACAAAAGTGGACTGGGACCGATCCCTGCAAAACACCACTGGTAACAGGCATTGAGTCCGAAAAGCATCCATCCACCATCATTCCCTGGCTCCTGCTGTTAAGCCAATTTTGTATCCAATTGGCAAGCTCACCTTGAATGTCATGTGATCTCACTTTACTAATTAGTCTATTATGTGGAACCTTGTCAAAGCCTTCACTACAGTTTAAGTAAACAATGTCCGCTGCTCTGCCCTCATCAATCTTCTTGGTTATTTCCTCAAAAAACTCAATCAAGTTTCTGTGGCAGGAGTTCCCTGAGGTAAAACGATGCTGACTGTCCCTAATCATTCCTTGCCTCTCCAAATGCATATAAGTTCTATCATTCAGAATCCAACAACTTACCCACCACCAAACTCAGACTCACAGGTCTGTAGTTCCCAGGCTTCTCCTTACATCCCTTCTTAAACAAAGGCACATTAGCCACGCTCCAGTCATTTGGCACTACACCCGCAATTATAAATAATACAAATATTTCTGCAAAGGACCCTGCAATTTCCTCCCTAACTTCGTACAAAGTCCTGGGATACATTAGATCAGGACCCAGAAACTCATCCACCTTTATATTCTCTAAGATCTCCAGCACTTTCTCTTCTGTAATCTGAACTGTTTTTGAAACATCAACATTTATTTCCCTGAGTTCTCTAGCCTCCATTTCTTTCTCTGTTGGTTGATTGTACACTTCCTAGAATCATTGCTCACTGGGATAAATCTTTGTTTTAAGTCATTAACTATTTTCATAAAAGTCAGCCATTGTTCCTCAAACAACTTTGCTGCTAATCACTTTTCCCAGGCCACTTCAGTTAGTTACTTATTAAACCTGTCCCTTTACATATACCTGTCCCTTTACATATTGCTCAATCTGAAACCTTGTTGGGTCCAGAACAGTAAAATGCCCTGACTAATGCTATGACTTCTTCCTCATGGCTAGCTCTGCCAATTTTAGCTTTTTTTAAATGAACGAATCTATCAGCATAATCTACTTTATACCTTTGCAAACCAATATGCCTCTTGCTGCCTTGTCTTCATGACAGGCGATGGCTGGCACTGGCAGCTCTATCTCAGACCCCATAGTCCTGGTCTCGCGAATTTGCCATGCATTGCCAACCCACCCCCTCAGCTCATCACCAAGGTGAGTGTAGCTCTGCCAGCCAAAACATGGTATTTTTGCAATAGGCCAGTAATTTTCCAATTGCCTCCAATTATTCATTGTCATGTCCAATTAACCCCTAAAGATTAACTCTTAATGGTCTCATCTGGAGACATTTTTAAGCCCAACACTACAGGAGCCGATCGACAACTCCCACCAGTGTCTTCTTCCCCTTATTATTCATTAATTCCACCAATATGGGTTCAATGTCCTCCGATCCAAAATATTTTTTGCTATCATACTTACTTCATCTCATAATCACAGAACTATTCCACCTCCCATTCCTTCCTACTTGTACTTTGAAGTCACATACCCCGGAATATTTAATTATCAGATTTGATCTTGTTGTAACCATTTTTGAGTAATGGCTGTAAGACCACACCCATTAACCTCTATTTATGTTCTTAATTCATTAATTTTGTTCCAAATACTAAACTCATTTAAGGAGACAGCCATTAATTGTCCTCTTCTACCATTTTACCCCCTTGAACCCTATTCGCTGCTGTTTATCTATGCTTATGCATCTTGTCTCTTCCCATCCCACACTAATTATTGTTATTCAAATAGCTGTCAAGTAATGCTATCATATCCTTTTGCTTTTTTAGCCTAAATTTTGCCTCTTCCAAACCCTCTGCTGCATTCCTTAATGAGTTTTAGTTATTTATTCATTGTTCACTTACTTATGTTGTCTCATATGTGTTTTAGTAACTTTGTCACCGATTTATACAATGTTAAAACATAAGAATTTAGAAGATTTAAACCACTTACCAGACATTTGCAGCTATTTCCACTTCTGTTATAGATAAAGGACTAATTTAAATCAGGTTGAATGACTCTAGCAGTTCTAGCAGTAACAAATTATGAGAAACCATTCAAACTGGGTGTCAATGCCACCAAATGTTGGTGTTTGTACCACTTTGTCGATCAAATGGCCCTTCATTTATTTTTCAATAAAACTGAGTGCATGTAAACATAAATATTCAATGGTGGAGAAAGAGACATTGAGTCTTCTAATGACTCTACATTAGTTTCAAATCAACATTGTTAGAGACAATATCTTTTGATATCTGTGGTATGTATGGACTGAAGATGAGAGAAATGGACACTGCTTTTAAAAAGAAATGCACGAATGTACAAAGAGATGTTTTTTGCTTGGTAAAACAAGTGAAGCTAGCAGATGCATACGAGGCAAGTTACTTTTTTGCGACACTGAGTCGGGATGAACTGGTGACATTTGTTGCCAGATCAGGATGTGCTGTATAATGACAACTGATCAGGTTGCAGTTTAGCACAGGCCCTCTAAGAGGAGCAAAACAGAGTGAAGCAAACTCACCTCCAGAAATTAGATGCATCAACCCCTCTCTCCCCTTTCTCTGTCAGGTTGGTTTCCCCACTTTTTCGTCAAAAGGGCAAAAAAAAATCTACATTTGGAAATACTGAAACAATTCTGTAATCCAAAGATAACAGTGGTTGAACCGTATAACCAAAAACAACAGACTGATCATGGATGTACAAATAACATTGAGGCAGCATCAGAGAATTTGAAAGACTGTGAAACCAATCCAATTAGTTTTGTAGTTTGAACTGGTGAGAAAAAAATGTACTCTTCTTAACTTTTTTGCACATGTTTTGCTTTGTGTATCTATGTGCATTTATTGTGGGGTGGTGGTGAGTTGTGAAAAGGGTATAATTTAATATCATAAAGTAGATGTTTTTACTGTTCTTGTTAAAGTTAAGAATGTTATAACTAAGAGATTTTTTTGTTACTTAAGAAATCTGAATTCATTTCATTTTATCCTCAGTTGCAGTTAGTAAGAAGCTGATTGGGATTTTTGATAATTTCTTGAAATCTTCCCATTTGCTATGACTGCAGGAAATTTCCAGTGCACTGTCCCTATGGGTCATGCCATCATCACCAAAATTGGAGAAATAGTTGTTTATATAAAAGAAACACAACCCTATGATCTTTCTTCTGCAAGTTTGGGACAAAAACCTACTGTTGTTTCTGAGGAGTTTAATCATCCAGGTATACAATTTTAAAAGTTATTCATGAGCCAGTGAGGAAATTGAGAAATTTATACATATGTATTTTAATATCATTTATCATGTGTTTGGACTAATTTTAGTTAGACATATGGGTTTGTCTATGTATTTGGAATTAACAATTAATTAAAAAAAAAACAAAAACCATGATACCCATAATTCCAAGTCAGAGGAATTTACCCAGTTCCTTGAAAACTACGGAGAGCCCTCAGGGAGAGAACTGTCCAGGTTCATCCAGTGTGAGCTGGGAAGTCAAGAGATATCTAGCTTTGAAGTGCTGAGAAGCCTTTTGTTTTAGTAATGTGCGCTAACAGACATTCTTAGGAACAGGAGTTTAAAGTAATACAATTAATTTAGAATAAGAAGAGTTGGGATACAAACAGTGGAAAAGAAGTCAAGTTTCTGAAAATTAGTTGCATCAGGAATGTTAATAACACAGGAGTAAACTAATTCAGGAGTATAATAATGATAATTAAGAAAGAGGTATGTAAAGTTCCAGCAGATGGCTTGAAATTTTAATCACTACAAGCCCAACAAACTAATAGAAAAAGTCTCTGCCTCATTTGGAAATGTGTTAGAATGGGTCTTGCAGAAGTACAGTTCTGGATGTTCTTAGAAATGCAACCATGTTTGCAAGCTGTACCATGCTTAGGTTATTTCTACTGTGTGTTTAAAAATCTTTGAATCAGTGTTGTAAGGGAATAAAGTGGAATTCTCCTTGCTTATATTTCTGTTCTTAATTAACTTCTATTTTGTTTTACTGTTAAAAGACTGCAACATTGTGCTCTTACGTTTTAATAAATGATCATCTCAATAACAAAATGAAATTATGATCCATCCAGGCAGGCTCCTGTCGGGAATCTGACTTATCCAGTACTAACATAACTGGGCATTCCCCTTAATAATTGGGGCTATTAGCTTTTAATACCTCTAAAAGACAAAATGTTATAGCTGATGCTTTATCAAGTGCACATACGAAGGAACCTAAATTGTACCTTTTTACAACTCACCACCCCCACCCCACCATAAACACACATAAATACACAAAGAAAAACAAGTGCAAAAAAGTTAAGAAGAGTACGTTTTTTACCAGTTCAAACTACAAAATTAGTTGGGTTGGTTTCACAGTCTTTTGAAATCTCTGATGTTGCCTCAATGTTATTTGTACATCCATGATCAGTCTGTTGTTTTTGGTTGTGTGGATCGACTGCTTTTATCTTTAGATTACAGAATTGTTTCAGTATTTCCGAAAGAAGATTTTCTTTGCCCTTTTGATGGAAAAGTAGAGAGGCTGTGATCCAAATAAACTTATCTTAAGTTTGGACATGAAATACATTGTATGTTTATTGTTACACCATTCAGTATTCTCAAAGTCCAACAAATAAATATTTTATCTTTGTGCACATTTATTGAACAATACAGCAACATCAGAAAGTTCAGGCTATCTATCTCATAGAAGCATAATTTGGAGAGGAATCTCCTCCATTACATATGATTGGACTTGATTGTAAAACAGCATTAATTTCTAAACACCCTTCCTTTATCATTTTCTGTTTACATTATTTTCTGCTCAGGACGACAATATTATAGTCTGCCAAGTTGAAATACATCAGGGAGCTTGGTAAATCTCAAGTTAACAAATCCACTGAAATACAGCCAAGTAAAATAACCTTGGGGTTGAACTAGTCCAACAGCAATGTCATTATTGATGAAATTATGAGATACCAGTGTCTATTTTTCCTCTTTGTTTATTAGTTTTATGTGCTATTTATTAACATGTTCAAATGATTTTGTGTACTATTTATGAAATGCAAAGTTGATTTTTATTGACATCTTCAGTTCACTTATTGGGTATTATTATTTAATATGTTTTGGGTTACTTTATTCTGTACTGTTGGTTAATGTGTCTCTATTGCAATTTTTGAATTAATTATTGTGAGTAACTTTATTCGATGGAACGAGTTATTCATATATTTACGCAACATTCCTCTCCAGGCTTTTGGAGATTTGTTATTGGATACTGTTATATTTTACATTTTATGGTTGAGTAACAGTCTACTATTTGTTGATGTGTTTGACTAGCACTGTGCTATGGGTTCTGACTTTTGACAGACGTTTGTCTGCAAGTGAATAAACAGTTTCATGTTGTTTTTCAATGCATGTGGATATGTAAAATGTGTGTTCCACTCTGAAGAGCTAGTCTACAAGAAATGGAGGGTTAATACAGTGTGGAGCTGGAGGAACACAGCAGGTCAGGTAGCATCAGAGGAGCAGGAAAGTCAACATTTCGGGTTTACACACTTCATCAGGACTGGGGAGAGGGAAGGGAGCTCGGAAATAAATAGAAGGCAACGGTTGAGGCTGGGGGAAGGTAGGTGTAATGGTGATAGGTGGAGGCAGGTGGAGATAGGTCATTGGAAGGGTTGGGCAGATAGATGAGAAAGAAGATGGACAGGTTGTGTCAGGTCAAGGAGGCAGGGATGAGAGGGAGGGATGAACATGGTATGAGGCCAGGGGTGAGGAGATCTTGAAGCTGCTGAATTTTATGTTGAGGCCATCAGGCTGTAAGCTCCAGAGGCAGAATATGAGGTGTTGTTTCTCCAGTTTACGTGTGGCATCATTAGGGCACTGGAGGAGGCCCAGGATAGACATGTCACCAAGGGAGTGGAGAGGTAGTTAAAATGGTTGGCAACCGGAAATACTGTTGATTATAGCGTACAGAGCACAGATGCCTCTGGAACTTACAACCTGACACAAACTATCCATCTTCTCCACTGTATTGACTCTGCCTCCAGCATCTGCAGTTTTTGCTATTTCCGAGAAATGGAAGGTTGCATGATTATCAGCCAAAGAGAAAACCAAGTATTTATATAAATAATACATTGGCATGGTCCAGAAATCACAGCAAGTCATAAAATTGAATGGAATTTGTCTACCAAAAATAAATTGCTATTAAATGTCGGGTGGTTGGAACAATAGAATCTGTTTACCAATTTCTTATATTGTCGGAAGCCTGCCCACTTCTCTCACCTGTCCACTGCACACATTACATGGCCTATCTGAACTGTCATCCACTGTAAGTAGTTGACCCTTCATGCTTTTGAAACCAAACAAGAATATGAACAAGACATGAGGCCTTCGTGAAATCAAGTGTAGCCCAAGAACAAAATGAACATAATTGTGCATAATTACATGTATTTGAATAATGTTGCACCAAGCTCAATTAGATGAAATAATTTGTGCTAATCAGAACTTCAAAAGAAACACTTCCTTATTCAGCATACATATTTTTCATTGCTGTCACATTTTAGGGAGGAGTGTTCGCATATAACGGCTGTGACGGAACCAGTTGTTCTGATGTGTTGTTGTACACCACAATAATTGGCTGAAAAAGATTAACAATGGCATGAATGTTATATAATTTCAAAGGTTCTTATACAAAGTGATCTTGCGAGTTCATCAAAGTTCAACCACATCTCCAAAATCCATACCTCTCTGCCACTTGCCCCATTTGGGCAATGCTATTATTGCAATCTGTTCCCTTGAGCTAAAAAACATTTTCATCAAACAATATCACAAAAAACATCATCAGGTCATAATCCTTTTGGGGTTGTTAGGAATCCATTTTCTGAAAAAAGGTTCTGCTTTTCCTACATGTGATGAAAGAGATACTTATATAATCAGTTTTTGAATTTGGGTTGTCTTAAAGAGATGAGTGGTATGATTATTTGATTGGTATGAATCAGTTCTATAAAGCTTTTAGTTTGTTCAGCAAGTCATCCTGCGGTAGTGACCTAAATTCAACACTGCAAAGAAACCACATGACTATGGGCATCTGTGGTGTCAATGGAAGGACGTCTATACTTTCAAGTTTATGACTGGTAGTGGAAAAACATTAAGGACCTTAGTTTAGTTTTCAGTTCAGAAACTGCCAGAGTTGAGTTCAGAAGCAAGTATTATATTTCCTCACAGTAGGAGATTTCAGTGCAATTCTTGGGCAGCCAGTTGGTCCAGTCAAATGTCTAGTTTGTGCATGTTCCAGGCCAGAACTGTTTGGATAGAAATTTGCAAGTTACTGGAAGTGAGAAAGTTTAGACTCTCAGATTTGTGAAGAGTTCATGTCAGCAGACTCAAAGGAATCATCGAGTTGTCTTAACAGCCCCTTGGAAAGAATCTGGAAAGGGTCTGTTAAATTTAAACCCTGAAGAGTTGATATTAGGATTCAGTATCTCCAGATTGTAATGTATGATATTGGGAAACAGGTTAAAACCTTGTTGTGATATTTGTGCTAAAATCTTTTAGTATATACACAAAGTTTGGCTGTTTGTCTTTTTTAACTTATCTTCAGTTGTTAATGAATATCTGCAACTTTGTGTGGATATGTTTCAGTGACAAACTACCACCTTGGCTAACAAATAAATTGTATCGTCTATTAAGCTAGGCTTCATTCTAAGTTATGACTCATCCAATTCAAAATCACAATCTGTAGCACCTATTGAAGAAAACAAAAGATTAATTTTCTTTAGGATTAAAGAGGTTTACTGCAGAGAACTGAGAGAGAGTTTTTGGTTGCTGCTGATGTGCTGGTTTCTCTTCTGGTCTGAGCCAGCCTCTCACTGTCTTGATCACAGCATAAATTGTTCAGCTACCTGACTGTCAATCACACGGCAAAATTTGGCAGAGGACACTTGTCATTAATAATTGATCCCTAGTTCACAAACCAATCGACTTCACTTGTAAACAATCCCTCGTCCCAGTTCATCTGCACATTGCTGGAACCCAATGCTATACAAACAGGATTCACAAAAGGTATCAAATCCTGACTTTCAAAATAATCCTCACGTATCACCCCATTAACCTCCGTATTCAACGCATCATTCTCTGCCACTTCCACTACCTGCAAACTGACCCCACTATGAAGGATATATTTCCCTCCCCACACTTATCTGCCTTCCAGAGGGACTGCTCTCTCCATGACTCCCTCGTCCGCTCCACACTCCCCACTAGCCCCACCACCCCCGGTACCTTTCCCTGCAACCGCAGGAAGTGCTACACCTGCCCCTACACCTCCCCCCTCACCTCCATCCCAGGCCCCAAAAAAAACCTTCCACATCAGTCAGATGTTCACCTGCACATCTGCTAATGTGGTCTATTGTATCCGCTGTTCCCGATGTGGCCTCTTCTATATCGGTAAGACCAAGCGGAGGCTCAGAGACCACTTTGTAGAGCACCTGCACTCAGTTTGTGACAAACGACAACACCTTCCAGTCGCAAACCATTTCAACTCCCCCTCCTACTCCCTGGATGACATGTCCATCCTGGGCCTCCTCCAGTGTCACAACGACGCTACCCGGAAACTGGAGGAGCAGCACCTCATATTCCGCCTTGGGAGCCTAAACCCAATGGTCTCAATGTGGAGTTTACTAGCTTCAAAATCTCCCCACCCCTGGCCTTATCCCAAGACCAACCCTCCCTCTCATCCCCGCCTCCCTGACCTGTCCGTCTTCTTTCCCACCTATCCGCTCCTCCCACCTCACTGACCA